TATTATATATATATATATATATATATATATATATATTAGATAAATATTGGAAAAACTAAATAAAAATGAGAAATGTTGCCTTGGCAAATAACAGAAAAAGGTTGTAAAGTGAAAATAAACTAACCAAAACTAAACCTGAAATAAAAAAAAAATCAAACCTATATTGTAATATATATATATATAAAAAAAACTAAAACCAATAAAAAAAAAGACAAAACTAATTACTAAAAATGTAAAACTTAAGATACAAAAATAAAATCTAATTCAAAATATTAATAATACATTATAAAAGTATACAAGTAATACTAAAATAACTGCTACAGGCACGCAAACTGCCATTTTGACTGATTTTTTTTAAACATCCATTAATAATCGAAAAGGAAAAATAAGAAAAAAAAAACTATGCCTATATAATTACTTAATAAACAACTATATACTGTATAGGTTGGTTGTCGTTAGTCAGTTGGTTTGTTAAAAATGGTTATTTCACATTGATCAAACTGATTTCCTTGTGCATTAAACATTCTGAATGAACAACCAGTGTGGGAAGCATGTTCTTGCACTGAATCAACAGTATTCTGTCAGGCATTATATAACAAACTATTAAGAACAACTCCCACAAACATTGTAAAAGGTCATGTTTTGACTGAGCTACATCCTGGGACAGGGGGCACATGATCTCATCTGTTTTCTAAGTGGTCTAGCTGTCAGTAAACAAAACTAAGGTTAACAAAGTTAAAAAATTTTTAAAGTAAAATAACATTAATTTAGATGTTGCTGTTGTGGTCATATTTAGAGCGAAAGCCCTATAGGGAAACCTGTTGTTGTATGACCAGCCTCCTTAATGACAAGTAAAACATGCGAAAAAATAAGAAATCAGGAAGGGGGCCAACACTTTTTCACACCACTGTATATCGTTTCCCTGGATGTGAATATGAATCGGCTCAGCCTGACGACATGCTGAGATTTGTGTACTCATATAAAATATATACAGTATATTACGTGTTTCAAAAAGACAGCGTCAACAACGGCTACATTTTCAAATACAGCATGCAAGCTGGTATGCAACCAACACACATCACTGCTGTCATATCAGAATGGTTCGTACGAACAGTGAATACGCCGCTCTATTCATTGTCATAATAATAACACTACATGCACCGCTTACCTTAGGATTAATCTTTTAGTTATCAATCCGTTATAAGAATATCATCAGCTCCATGCACAACTAAGCACAATGTCTTCCTATACGTCCACATTTGTCACAGATAAATAAAAACCATATCGCACAGAAACATAGCACAGAGAGAGACTAATATATCAGAGAAGCGTTTTCTGCTCTAATTAACATCAGCTGGTCGGACTGGTCGCTGTGACTCTCTGGAGAGGCGCCATTTGACTGCGCTTGGAGGAGGCGCGCGGTTGCTGATGTGCTGCTGTAAGATCCGCCCTCACGAGCGCCCTCTGCTGCAGGTGCCCGGCTACTGTGGGGGCAGACAAGTGGAAACTGCCATCTGCTGGTGTTTGTCAGGATCATCGTACACAGAGCTGTCCTAATTTGACCTGTGCATGAGACATTATAAGAGCACCAAAATTCATTGTGCAGTAAATACACATTTAAATACTGAAAGTTATAGTTAAAAAAAAAAGCCTTTTTGTAAAAGACCTGTCTACTTATTATTAAAAATATTTTGAGTGGAGTTTGATCCAGGTCATATTTAAATTGCATTGACTGAATGTATCAATGCAATTGCAATGTGACAAAACCCCTATTGTATATATATATATATATATATATATGTATGTATGTAAAACACAATGTTAACACTGAATTTACTGTATATGTTTCAAAAGAAAGCTTTTAGGATTGTTAAAGGGGTTGATTATTGTGAGCCAACTAACAAATTGTTTATTAATTTATATGCTTTAAAATTTGTAGATTTAGTTGATTTATGTACATCACAGATAATGTTCAAGGTTTATAATAATCTACTTCCAATTTGTATCCAGAGGCTGTTCAAAATAAGAGAAAGTCAGTATAATCTAAGAGGATTGTATATGTTTAAAAAAGTAAGGGCAAGAACTAATGTAAAAAGTAGGTGTTTATCTGTCAAAGGGGTAACGCTATGGAATAAATGTGATAAGGAATTAAAATTATGTAATTCACTCTGTAAATTTAAGAAAACGTATAAAAATAAGGTAATAAATAATTATATGACTCAGTATTATTAATTGTGAATGTATTGTCACAATATTGAAGTAATAGCTAGAATGTGTTTGTTTAGAATTATGTTTTTATATTTGTGTATTGTTTGTGTAACTTGTTTATCTTATAATTTTTGAGGAAAGTGTTGCTCATCAGTTGACTATGTACAAAGGGTAGGCAAAATAAGCAAGGCTTCAGCCTACACCTTTTTCGGTAATTATGTTTATTTATTTGTTAGCTTTTGTGAAAAGTTGTTTGTGAAGACCGAAATAAAATTATTGATTGATTGATTGATTGACTGTGAACTGAGATAAACTGTAATGTCATGAAATGTAAATATGAAATGTTATAGTTTTATCTGTGTTTCCTTAATTATGGACATTTTCAATTCTAGAGGTCGATTTTATATATATATATATATATATATATATATATATATATGAGGGCCATCATGCCTTCATTTTTAAAACGTATTTATTTATCTATTTTTGCCGCTTATTTAAAGCATTTATGTATAGGTTTTATTTAAAATATGAATTATTACATGTTTAAAAGAAACGTCCCCTTTTCAGGATAATGTGTTTTAAAGAAATTTAGTAAAATCCAAATAAGCTTTACACATCTTTATTGCAAAGAATTTAAACAATATTTGTTCATACTTGTTCACTGATCCATAAACAATTATTGCACATGCACTTGTGAATCGGTCCTTAAAGACACTTAGAGGTTTTGCAGGCAGTCAACAGTTAAGGCCACATTTATAAAAGAGACTTTCTACTGCCTCTGAAAAACACCAGAAGAAATTTAATTTTATAATTTTATAACATAATTATAAAAATTGTATAATTATAAAAAATATATATTATGTTATATTATATATAGATTTTTTTTTGATGCTATTATGATTATATTCTGTAAATTTGGCACATCTTGTACGGTCAGTACCATTTATCGCCACTAGGTGTCAGCGTGAGGCTTACAAGCTTACATTACCGCATGTGGCAACGTCACAAAAGATTTAATTCATGCTGCAATAAAAAAAAGTGCACTTGTCTACACCGCAGAACATGTCAGGACATGTTACAGCATATTAGTTTTCAAGATGTTGGTTGTTTTGGAAGTCTCCATAATAATCTACATGCTAATCTGATGTTTGGAAAGGATGTCCTTTAAAGCATGCATGCTGTAATTTGCAGGATAGTGCTGAAGACAGAATCTAATTACACATGGTGTAATTATGAATGCATTCAATTTGAATGCAAACTAATTGAAAATGTGATGATAGAATGTCAAACTTGATAAATCTAAAAGTTTTTTCAAATAGAGAACTACAGATTTGCTTAACATTTGTGACATTGTGACATTTTGTGACACTTTTAAATAACCTAAACGTCTAAATACTTATTTTCTAATTCATTTAATATTATCGGGTATATTCAAAGTTATACTAACAAGACAGCAGTGGAAGAAATGAACTGTTCGGAAAGAGAAAATATCAAGCGTGCAGCTTTCTTGGTGAAAAATGTTGGAAAGCACAGCAGGTCAGATATTGCCTTGTGGTTTGGTGTTTACCTTTTCACTCCATGTAGCCCAGGGCCAAGTCACTATGGCAACTTCCTTGCACCAGGAAGGGAATAATTGCAGTTCGGAATTCCAAATGGATGGTGTGCGTTGTTGAAGGTGATAGTTTTGTGCTTCTCATTCAGATACCGCAATCTGTCTGACTAAGAAAAACAGTCACATATCGACCTGGTTCCTGCAGTGAGTTTCTGTGTTCATGTGTTGCAAATAAGTGGATTTGCTTCTGTATAAAGGGATACAACACTGAAAGCTGCCATGTTTTATGTCATGATATGAGATGACATATATGGGATTTGGTTCATTAGTCCAAGTCATATATAATTTTTTAAGCAGCTGCATTTTTTCTTCTTTGGCTCCAATGTGGCTTGGAGATAAATTCTCTTCTTTTTTAATGTTTCTGCTATGAAGGATCACTTTAATCTTTCATCTTATTTTCCTGCCTGCATTTGGGTGGTATCTTCTGAAGGAAATGTTAAATTGAGGGTGATGAATCTGTGAAAAGCACAGGCCCTATATTACAGAAAACAGCAAATGTGAAAGATCACTGACGTCTGAAGCGGGTCAAGAAAATGTGCAGTCACACTGACCATTGTTTGGCTAATTTTTTTGTCTGTGAATCCAGTCGTTTCAATAGAGATCCACGCGATCTGGAATTTGGAGTAAAGGTGCAGTCATATTAGTGAAATTGTGCAGACAAAAAAGGTCCATTGTCTGTTGTCAATAGTGTAGTGGTGTACGAAGCACATCTCAAACAGAAATCACTTTCTAGCCAAGCAGGTGTCTGTTGGTCAGTGCAGCAACTTATTGCAAATTCTGTGATAAAATCTTACGCCCTCATGAGAAATTCCCAATTATGTGAATTTCCCACCACAGATTTAACATTCAAGTAGGTCATGCAAATTTGCCACGTTGCTGTTGACCAACAGAAAGCTGCTTGGTTTTATAGCGATTCTGTATGAGCTGTGCTGTATACATCGCTACACTATACACTGCTTACAAAAGCAACTGACCTTTTTTTGTAAATGCATTTTATAGGACAGCAAATAAATGTATAAAATCAAGTCAAGTTATCTTTATTTCTATAGTGTTTTATACAATACATATTGGGTCAAAGCAACTTAACAGAAGATAAACAGAAAGTAGCAGAATCAGTTATGGAAACTCAGGAATGGAGACAATTCAGTTTCTGCAGTTCTACAAAAGGCAGCAATGTTGTTATTCAGTTTGAGCCAGTTCTTTGTTGATTCTATTCGGTTCAGTACCAGTGTCGATGCTGCAAGATGCGATTCAGCTGTAAAGCAGCTCTACAGAAAACAATAGTGCCATCTGCTTAGTTCAGTTCAAGATTTGGTCTCACAAGCGGTAAAATTATAATTCAATCAATATTTATAACCCAATCAATAATTCATGCCATATTTCATATTTATTTGTAAAAAGCAGGGTCTTGATCACCCTGTCTTGATTTATTTAGCATTAATGACCAGCTGATTGTACAAATCCCTCACTCAGGAGCACCGCTAGCAATTTTGGGCCCTATGAAAGAATATTAGGTTGGGCCCCCTTCCGCACCAAACATACACTATATTGCCCAAAGTATTGGGAAAACTCAATAAAACTAAAAAAAAACTCATCCCCAAACACCAATGACTTATACATATGCGTACAATCATTTTAGACACTTCCAAAACTGTGGAAAAAAAGATGGAAATACAATTTTTAAATACATGAAGTATGTTTCCATCTTTGATGCCACAGATTTGGAAGTGACTTTTTCTGTTCTAAAGAAGGGGGTGTCCCAATACATTTGTCCATATGTATGTACAAGTCACAGGTGTTTGGTGATGAGTTTTTGGCTCAAGGTCTGCATTTAAAGTCACACCAGAGGTGTTCAGCTGGGATTAGGACTTGGCTTTCTGCAGACCAGTCAAGTTCTTCCACACATCTTTTTTTTAACCTTGCTTTATGCACAGAGGCATTGTCGTGTTAGAATAGAAAAGGGTCCTGTTCAAACTATTGGTATAAAATTAGAAGTGCACAATTCCATAGAATAGCATTATATGCTTAAACATTAAGATCTGAACTCATGGAAATTACTAAAGTAGTCAAACTTGTTCATTAGAAGGGGGTGTCCCAATACTTTTGGCAATATAGTGTGCAAGCCAGCCTAGCTATTCAAAATCTCTGTCAATTCAAATCAATTTAATAATATTGACCTATTACTTTTGCTATTGCTTTTGACCATTAGGTATCAAAGCACACGATTCCCTAGAATAGCATTATACGCATTTTTTTTACAAATAATTAGAAATTACTAAAGTAGTCAAACCTGTTCATTAGAAGGGGGTGTCACAATACTTTTGGCAATATAGTGTACAAGCCAGCATAGATATTACCTATTACTTTTGCTATTGCTTTTGACCATTAGGCATCAGTAACATAATTCATTCAGAACCTGTTTTATGGACATAGTACCACACTATTCTGCTGATATGGAATGCGTTTGACTACTTAATCAGTTATATGAATAGAAATGCTTCACTGGGGCAAACAAAAAAATCTAAAATAATTAAATAGGATACCCCATAATACCAGAATTTCCAGCAGTATCCAACATTTCTCAATCATCATCTTACTCACCTAAATGTG